TAGATAAAAACTAGAAATAAAATTTATTATAAAATTATAGGACAGTATTTCCAGTAAAAGATATCCAATTGATATAATTTAATATCAAATAACAAAAAATATTGATAATAATAAAATTAATAAAAAATAAATAAAAATTTGAATAACAGAATAATAATAGAAAAACAATAAAGTACAATAAAAATAATAAATGGCAAATGATAACACAAAAACAATATTAAAAAATAATAAAATAACATAATAATAATAATAATAATTTAATAATAATAATTTTAATAATAATAATTTTAATAATAATAATTTTAATAATAATGATAATAATGAAAGAATAAATAAATATGTGTGATGTTTGATGGATATTTATGAGATCATTGAGTATTTTTTTGGGACCCTGGTTGGGCGCGCTTCTTCTATATTTTTACTATTAGGATTTATCTAAAATGTTGATATAGAGTTGGGCGGGGCACAAAGGTCAAATTGACTTTGAGCAATTATATTATGTAAACTAAACCATTATACACAACAAATAACACATATCAAACAAACAACTATCTGACGATGTAGTTCCAGTAGTAGTTCCAGCTAATTTATTTTTTGTAGAATTTTTTAAATTGGTCATTCTTCCTTTTTTTTCTTCATAGGCGCGGCAAAATAGGACATCATAGGGTAAATAGATCAAATGCCTTACTTTTCATTAAAAGGGATTTTACGAAATAATAGCTACATTATTCAAGCAATGCAAAATATAATTTTCATGTGTACATTTTTTACAGAGATAGATACACTATAAAAAATCTTAATCTGGTATTTTGTCAGGTATTTTATCTGGTACTTTCCTGTGTACATTTCGTTAGAAATATTCATCAGTAGAGTTGGTATAATTATTTTATTTAATCATTCTTTTGTGAATTTGCATTTTTTAACTTAATTTACTTTTTTATTCGTTATTTTTTATTTTTACACCTTTGCCAGAGGTTTCTGAACATTTTGGCATACCTTAGAAAAAATGGATGTATGTGTGTGTGTGTGTGTGTGTATGTATGTGTGTGTATGTACGTGCGGATACAAATTTTCGTCGACGATTTCGGGAACACGGATCAACCGATTTGAATAATTCAAAAAACATTCGATTCGTATTGATAAGGAGACGTGCTGATTAGTTTTTGGCGAAGGCAGGTCTAGCCGTTTCGAAGATACGGGGCAAAAAGTGCCGAAAACGGTAACTCAGTTTTTAAGAGAACGGAGCGTCCGATTTGAATAATTCAAAAAACATTTCACTTGTATTGACAAGATGAATAATCTATTTTCATGAAGGTAGGTCTGACGGTTAGGAGATATGGAGGAAAAAGTAAAAAAATGAGCCATTTGGCGGTCAAAAATGATCATTAGACATATGCACACCAAATTATCAGATATTTTATAGAGATTTTAACAATAAGTATACATTTTGTTAACATTCCTATGGGTTCCGTACCAATGCTTATGCGTTAGACACCGACGCGGCGCTTACGCGCTTTATATTTGTCCCTATGCAGTTAAAACAGTACGATTACTTTGAAAAAAAGTTCAGATCTTCCACAATATGTCAAAATAAAAAAAAAATTTTTTTCAAAAAAAAAAATTATTTTTTTTTTTTTTTTAAATTTTTTTTTTTAAAAAAAAGTAATTTTTTGTCCAATTTATAGTTTCTCAAAAATCTTTTATCAAAGTAAATTTTTTTCAAAAATATTAATCGTTTTTAAAAAATAATAGTTTTTGGTGCGGGAAGTTCCAGCAATTTGCCTTAAGGCACGATGCCTTAATTGCCTTAAGACAGAATTCCACTTACAGCTAGTTATTTTTCAACTTTACTGATTTTTCAGGACCTTTTCACCCGCGAACCTTTAAGCCCTGCTCTACCCTATATGTATGTATGTATTTATGTATGTATATATATATATATATTCAACGTCGAAAAAACTATCAAGATATATATATATATATATATATATATATATATTATATATATATATATATATAATCAGTGTTTTCACATTATCTTCCAATGTAATAACTTCTTATAAAAAGCCTTTCATCTAACACTATATTGAAATAATTTTATATTAATGCCACTCAGACAGATAATATTCAAGTGTTAAAACACTTATGATTAAAAGTTGTCTTCAAAACATTTTTTTTCTTTCATTTTAATTAAATGTGTCGTTGCACATACATTTAATAACTATACGAATGAATTCTCATGTAAAGTACAATCATCAGTTTTTTTTTATTGAGTTATAAAATCGTTATATATAGAGTGTGAAAGTATTTCTTTAGAGTCAATATTGATAATATATTTTATAAGAATAATGAAAAATGAGAGGTCTTTATAAAACCAAAAATTTAATGAAAAATTTAAAAATTTAAATAGTATTTATATTTGCTAAAATTATTATCAGCCCAAATTTATGGTATTTCATATTTTTGTTAACAAAGTTTGTACAAGTACAATAATCAGTTTTTGAGATTTATAATTAATCAGAAAGTAATAAATTTCTATGAGCTAATGCACTGGTTTATAACTTTTTTTGAAGTTATAATAATTTATCAACAAAATTTTACAAGTAATATCATCAGTTTATTCTTACAATTATACGTTGAGTTGTTATATTTTTATACCTAAGTATTTGAAAGAATTGCTCCACCGTTCATTTTGGAATAATTAATATACTTTATGAAAAAACTAAAAATGAGAGAAATCTTTAGAAAACCTTGAATAATCTTTAAAAATTTAGATATCCATAAGTTTCAAAAAAAAAAAAAAATAATAATAATAAATTTAAATATTTCCATTGGTCTCATTATTAGTCATATTTTTCCAATGCAAATTTATGGCATTTAGTAATTTTTTATAATGAATATTTTTTTTTAATTTTTTGTTATTTTTTTATTTTTTTATTTTTAATATACATACATTTTCATATCTCACAAGGCAGTTATGCCTCGTATAAAAGATTATGAATAAATTTATACTACAATGACTATTTTATCAAAAAACTTTGTCATTGAAGGAACGTTGAACTAATGTTATTAAATAATGTTATTGTATTATATAACATTAATAAATATTAATGTTTATAAATACATTTATAATGATTATTACATATAACGGCAAATAAAAGCCCATGTTGCATCTAAATAAATTTAATTCAAGGAAATAAGTATTGCCATCTATATATAAGAAAAGACTTCGAAGAAATATATGCTCCCTCTAAATTGTACAGTTGTACAGCGTGGTTTTGTGCATTGCTATCATTTATACCTACAGTGTTATACAGTAAACCCCGTTAAGACGATTCTCCAGATAACTGGCCAAAGAGCGTCTTATACGGGATAGCGTATTATGCGGAATAGGGATCGTTCAAGTATTACGTAAGCAGATTTAGTACATTTACCCCCCATCCCCCTTTGTCAGCAAAAGTAAGCAAAATCTGTCACTAAAATGTCACAAAATAAGCAAATCAATAACATTATCTGGCAATTATTTTGATCAATTCACAAGTTAGACAAATTTCAACATTTTTAGGCAATTTGGAGCATTATTAATAAATTTGAAACATTTTGGGCAATTTGCAGCAATTATAGGCAATTTTAACTCAAAATCTTGAGCAAATTAGCTCCAATATGGATTAAGGGTGATATGATTTTTATATAAAGAAATGTCTCAAAAGATTGATGTTT